GGTGGAGGGGGTGGGGGGGGGTGGGGAGCGAGTGGACCAGTGGTCACACCAGTGGACCACTCAGTGGACCAGGGCGCTGGGGTGCTGAGGGCCTACGGCCAGGGATAGCGGCGCAAGCAGCGCCAGGGAGAAAGGGAAGTGCTGCTGCTGCTGCTGCTGCTGCTGCTGCTGCTGGTTAGGGCTGGGGTTGTGGCTGTGCTGCTGCAGGTGCTGCTCGCGGCAGCGGCGCGGCGGCTGCGGGTCGTCGGCTCGCACGGCGTCCAGTCGAGATCCAACACTTCCGCACATTCCTCAAGAAGTTGGCGAAGACTTAAACACTAAAAGAGGGAATTAAAAGGGAAAAAGGAAGCAATGCGCCCAGTCTGCAGCAGGCAGCTGCTGCGGCGCCGCACAGCAGCAGCAGCAGCAGCAGCAGCAGTCAGCAGCCCCACGGCGGTGTAGGAAGAAACCCGCGAGTTCGGTCGATTTCTGATGCAAAATGGACTTTTATTTGGGAATTTATCGCTAAAGAAGAACAAAAGAAAGAAAGAAAACCCCAAAAGATCGCAGAAAGCCTCGCAGTCTCGGTTTCGGCGCTGCTGCAGCGCCCGAGCTGACCATCGACGCGCAGGGGGCTCCCCCGGCTTTCTTTGCGGGACTTGCTTTTTTAATTTCCTTTTAAATTAATTAAAAACCCTTAATTTAATGCATTTAATTCTTTTTTTCGGTTAATGCAGACAAAAGCCCGGGAGATCCGCGCAGGCGACACCGCCGCTGCCGGCGGTCAGCCTCAAATGCCACACTGGGCGCTGCTGCTGCTGCTGCTGCTGCTGCTGCTGCTGCTGCTGCTGCTGCTGCCTCGCGGCTCCTTGCCTGCGCAAAAAGCCCAACTTTATTCTTTTCTGCATTTACTTTTCAGTTTCAATTCAAATAAAACATTTTAAAAACAAAAAGGCTTTTAAAAGACCCCTGTGGCTCCTCCAGATCGCAGCGCCCCGCCGCTGGGCGCTGCCGCCGCAGCCGGCTTCGAGAGTGGCTCGCGCTGCAGCAAACTGTCAA